CCCCCAAAACAATAATTCTATAAAGTTACCCAAATACCAATCATCACACAACAATGGCGTAAAACCACTCCCCTTATGATCTGAGGCGACCCTTGACCCCTAGTACCCATGATGATGGCCCCTAAGGGCCGTCAAAAACCCAATGTGACTGTGCCATTATGAAGTGGGTCAATGTTATTTGAATGTCTCCATTCTTGCGTAGTTAGTTCGTAGTGTAAAATTAATATTCAACAAATACCCAAGATGCAAAATAAGTGATTAGATATACTGAACCCTATTGTGTGCTATTGCTTAACTTAATGTAATGTATATTCTTTATGTATATTTGATTGTCCATACAGTATATCATTGTTTCGAACAATAATTAAATTGAGCTTACATACATGTCAATATTGTAATTTCATAAATGCATCATTGCTGTTAGTGAGGATCCCTGGAAAATGGGTGTCTTCCACCCGGATTATACAAATAAGAAAAAGAAAAATGTAGGGATCAGCACTAAACGGAGACACCACCCCTAAATATAGGCGCAAATACAGAAAGGAAAGAGAAAGACGGGGCTTTATAGGTGACTCATAAACAATGCGGTTAGACATAATATCACATAACTCATTCTTGTATAGTAAAATTCATATTTAATAACATAATTCCATAAAATAACAAAAAAATGGCATATACAGGACATAGCACACATCTAAGTTAAATAAAAAAAATAAACACATCTATAACCGACTGTATTCTGCTCAAGTACTTTTTTTTTTTAGCGTGGCACATCCTCTGCTGTGTTCAGGGGAAACATGTCAGGCCTGCTGTTGTTCTAGGCCTGGTTACAGTGACCACTACAATTCTTAATCCTATAGGTACTTAACCAGAGTGACAAATAATGGCATTAACATTTGGTAATATGCCTGTATTATTAACATGTAAAATATGATTAGTGTAATTGATATATAATATGGTATATTACAGATCGGAAATCATTCAGAAACCTGTTTAGAAAAGTAAACATAAGGAAAATCAATAAACATACATAAATGATGCCGTTTTTATGTGCAATAGTCAGACATCATCACCAATCATTTTCTCCAAACTAAGTAATGTTAGTATGGTTTAGAGAAGGCAAGGTAAAAGTTGTTTGTTATATTTTCAGCAAAATATGTTTTAAAAGAAATTTGGAGGCGGACCTCTACTTTTAAAAATGCTGCAATACTGACCCTCTGTGATCAGTACTATAGTTCGGCCTACAGTTGCTGGGTACTTATTACAGGCGAGGGACTTATGAGCATCAACATGACAGCCAAGCCGATTTCTAAAGGAGGTCAGCAATGAAAGTCCCCTTGTCTTTCTTGTCATAGTTTTTATTTATCTTTTCAAATAATTGATGCATTTTTATATTATAAACAAGATACATAAAGCATTCTAAACACAATATCTCATACCGGTATTGTAAAAATGTATTTCTACATCCATAAATCCATTTAGCCATCTTCGGTGAAAAAAGGTGTAAGAGGTTCGTTACAAGCTAAATCAGTAGAGTGCTTATAGCTCAACCATTAAAGCTATTTGTCACTTCACTGGTTCTTTTGGAAGCAGAGGTTGCAATCACCTAGACTACTATAGGACAATAGGAGCAAACAAGGTTGTTGTTTTTGTTACTAGTTCGTTATCAAAAGTAAAAAAAGAATGTATTATGTCAAGATGGTAAGTGTAACAAATTACAATAAGACTTGACTGTATTACCAAAGCCCTTCATATTTGTAGATGGCTCTAAGTAATGTGTGCTGAAGACGCCACGATTTTCTTTAGATTATTGAACTTTTCTTGTTATCAGCACCTAGCATCAGTCTCCTGCTTCATATTACATGTGAAAGGAAAGGTGGAAAGAAGCGCTGCAACCCTGGGATTTGCTGGAACGGTATAGATACAACCTTTAAGAGAAATTTAAAAAAAAAAAACTGAAAACTCACTGTTTTGGAAGAGGGGATAAAATCTTACAGTTGAGTAGAACGTTCAGGAGTAACTCTGACCTGTCCTTGTGGGTATAGAGCACGGGTTTCAGACGGACGAGCTGGAGTCTTCACGGTAAAGCTCTGAAAGCAGTATGTCGGCTTAGAGTGCTGGGCAGCATCTGTGGCTGGTTGGTGTGGGTGTGGGGAACAGACTACATGATTCTGGGTCAATCTATTGTTGTTTGTCTTGTACCTCGAAATTGGCTACG